TAGGGGGACGGGGCGGGGCGCCCCACCTGAGGCTGCCGGGTGGGCGGGGCCTGCGCCGGGTGGGCGGGGCGTTTCCGTCCGTAGTGCCCGCGGTGGGCGGGGTTGAGCAGCCTGGCCCTCTCGGCCCAAGCGGGACGTGTCGAGTAGGGCGGGGTGGCAGAGGCAGCATGGTCCCCACCTGGGACGGCCGGGGTGGGTGGAACCAAGCCGCTGGGCAAGCGGGGCCAAGTGAGTGTCTGTCCACCCCACACTCGCCACCTGAGGTGGAACGAACCCAGCGGCGGCGGTCTTCTCGCTGAGGGTCCAGAGCGACAGGTGACGCCTGGACCCGGACCACGCGAGGACTTGGCTGCGCTAGTTGCTGTCGTGCTCGCACAGGGCCCAGGCTGAAGGCAGTTGGCACTTTGTGGTCCTAGAGTCCCTATTTGACCCTCGCGACTCCCAGCAAGCCCTGCCTTTTGGGAACCGCGGGAATGGGGGGGCCCACATCCCCATTTGTACTGATTTATCTGATTGACTCCTCCCTACCAACCCCATTAGTCTGAGGGACCCCAGGGCGTTGACTCTCATAGGTGGAGGAAGAAGGCAGCTACTTAGAATTTTGGAAGCTCTGGATTTATCAAAAAGTTAATAAATATCAAGATCCAGTTACCAAAATGGCGGTACCTTTTAAAACTTCACATGAAGAAGTAATGACCTTCCGGCTGGCAGGTGGTGTGGTGGTTAAGGTGTTGGACTTCCACATATTTGACCATGGTTTGAGTCCTGGACCCAGCGACTTGGTTTCTCACTTTTCTTTTCTCTCTGTCTCTCTCGGGTCGTATTTTAAAATAATAATAAAATTAAATAAATAATTATTTTTAAAAAGAAACATAATGACCTTTAACTCAATGGTGAACTGAAGTCTTGGGGACATTTCTCCCCCTTTCACAGCTAAGAGTCTCTGCAGGTGTGTGGCTCCTGGGGCTCCTGTTCTGTCTCCACCCTAGGCCAGACCCTGCCCATTGTTGAGGCAGTTGTCATCTCTTGGTCCCACTAGAGTGTGCACCAAGGGCTTGAGTGACTCAGACCCTGAGGGTCCAGAACAGCTTTAGGAACCACCCCTTAGCATCTGAGATCTCCACTCAGCAAGAGTGGAAGATCAGATTTTGATTTTTAAAAACTTCAGTATGGGTGAAATAGCATCTTTTATGGATTGTTAAGATATGAGGTGTCTAAACTGCTCTTGTGGTAAAGTTTAGAAGGAAATGCACACGAAGAAGGCACTGTCTAACCCAGATGATAACAGCAAGAGTATGAGATGCTACTGGACTTAGAACAGAAACTACCACTTGGACTCTAGGGCAATCTTATCGAGTTTTGCAAGCCATAAAGAATACCATGCTTGGGAACCACAAGGTTATGTGTTCTTTAATGTTAAGGACTAAGTCTTAGACAATGGAAGTAGCTGCCTCCTTAACAGATTTCCAGTGTTTGTTTCATAAGATTTGCCAACTGGGTTTCATTTGCTCTATATGAGATGCATTCATGACTTTACAATTACTGCCATTGTGTATTAGGCTCTTTGAGGATGTCTGTTGGTTTTTATTTAAACTTGAAAATTGCTGCCTTAACTTTGCAGATCACCTTTTTTGTCTTAGAACTTCCCTCTGTGCCTTCTGATGAATGAGGTCATTTCACCCTTGGCTGCCAGGCAGTCATCCGAGGAGGTAGAAAGAGAGCAGAGGCTTAACCTTTCACACCCCACAGCTCAGCAGTGTAGTTCAGAGCCAGAAAGACAGAAATTAAAACCATCATAAAACCAGCAAGTATCTCAGATGGCCCGATTTGATTGCCGAGGTTGGAATTTGATCGAAGGACCAAGTTCATCTTGTATGCAAATTTTCGATCAGCTATTTGGTCATATTTAACTATCTTTAATGAAAGTAATTTCCTGGGGCCAGCTGATAGTGTGGTGGTGAAGGTGGCTAGATCTCACATGGCCAACTGTGCAATTTTAGTCCCATACCTGGTGGATTGCCAACTGTGCAATTTTAGTCCCATACCTGGTGGCTTGGAAAACATGGCGGGTGTGTGTGTGTGAGAGAGATACCCAAAATCACAAGAGGAGAAAGGATTGCAGCATAGCCATCCCCCCTGGAGGATGCTTTCTGACTTTCCATCTCTTTTTGTATCTGTCCAGTGAGTGCATTCGCCTTATAGCAAATTACAAAAGAAAAAGAAAAAAAAAGATTTTTTTTTTTTTTAACGAGAGGTTTTTACTATAGGGCACGTCGCTCGCCGGAGAGACAGAGAGACAGAAAGCAAGAAATTACCCCCCGGGGGGATGGCCACACTGCAGTCCCTTCTCCTACATTCTCTTCTCAGGATCTTGGGCACATATACATGTGAGTTTAAGCCACTGGGTCTGGGACTCAAACTGTGGTCGACTACATGGGAGTCCAGTGACATAGCCATTATGCTGTTGGTCCCAGAAAATAATTTTCTTATGGTTATGATAATCCTATTCCTTTAAAAGTCTTGGGAAATGGTCAGTTCTTGTACCAACATTAAAAGTAGTACAATCCATGCATGATCCCCCCACCCCCAGTAGTGCTTAGCACATAAATGCCTGGAAGGACTCTGTGTAGAAAGAATTAGGCTTGACCCATCCTTTGCTATATGGATTAAAGGAGGATGGAAACCATACTGGTAATGGAGGTACAGTTAATAGATAAAAGGTGGGCACATTCCCCAAAGCTCATTTATATTAAAGTCTGCAAGTATGTTTGTTGATCTCATGTGAGCTTGAGAACCCACAGTCTTAGTTGTTCTGGACTTTATGATGTTCAAAGGAAGAGAAAGTGAATCAATATGAAGCAATGACTCAGGAGAAGGTGAGGAGCAGCCACTATTATTTTGTTTGGTGGCTTATTACCTGCGGAGAAAGCCCTGCAGCAGGTCTCCAATTGCACAGAACATTGGCCTGAAGAAGAACTGGCTGTCCCAACACAAAGTGATAACAAATGTTTCAGATGATGGCTATACTAATTATCCTGATTTATTTGTTACACATTGTATTCACGTACTGAAAAATACCTTGTGCCCATACAAATATGTATGATTTATTATATGTTAATTTGAAAAGCAAAATTAAGGGCCATCAGGTGGTGTTGTGGTTTAGGCTCTGGATTCCCACATGGCTGACTGTGGTTTGAGTCCTGAACTTGGTGGCTTGCTTTCTCACTTTCTCTCTCTGTCTCTGTATGGTGAGTGTATATGCCCTATAGCAAATTAAAAAATAATAATAAATAAAATTAAGTAATTTTTAAATAAAGCAAAAAATAAACTTGCAAATTAAATACTAACAACATTGCAAAACCATTATCTTATTAAAAGACTAGCAGCATTAATTCAACATACTACATCATATTGTTTTACTATAACTACATTGCTGATATAGGGCTATATATTATATAAGGATGAAGTCTCAGGTCATATCATTTCTATTACCAGGCTTTTTTTGTCTGGAGCAGGCCCGCTGGACACAGCTGCCTCACCAGCCAGAGCTGGTGTAAGCTGTGGCACAGTGGACACCTTGTCCGAGGCCTGCCAGCTGGCTGCTGTCTGCATAGCCAAGCATGGACAACCACTACAGGCAGCCCGAGGATCCCGAACCAGGTGGAAAAGGCCTATGCCTATCTGAAGGAGATTATGTGATCACCAAGCAGAACTGCTGAGCAGAACCAGCTTGAAGCTGCAAGAGAAGGACTTGGAGAGTAACGTGGAGATCAAGGACATGAAGGAAACCATATTTGAGTTGGAAGATCAAGTGGTAGCACTAGGCAGTGAAGTTATATAACAACCACCTTATCAGTGAGCTGGAAAGTAACGAGATCAAGTTGGAGCAGCAGAAGTCAGACCTAGAAAGTCTGCTGAAGACTCTGACCAAGGAAGGAGGAGACAGAGGAATGGAGGAGATTCCAGGCAGACCTGCAGACCTCAGTGGTGGTAGCCAACCACATCAAGTGTGAGGTCCAGTAGGAGCTGCACACTGTGAAGAGGAGGCTGCTGGAGGAGGAGAAGAATGCTGGGCTGCAGGAGGAGCTGGGCAACATGTAGGGACACCACAGCTCTGTGGTCTCTGTCAGCTAACAAAGCATGTGGTGAAAGAAAGGCAGCCTAACCCTTGCCATGTCCAGAAACTACAGCCATTTCTATAAGAAAGAAGAAAACTGTAGAGGAGACCCCACCTCTTTCTAAAGAGCCTGGAGTCTTCTCCTAGCCCTCAGTCTCAGACAGTCATTCCCATCAAGTGTCCTTACCTTTTTTCTATGTTTTAGAATCAATTCACTGCATGATCAGACATGATCAGACATCTTCTTTTTTTCTCTCCCCTCAGTCTTTGATTTGGAGAGTAAAATGAAGTTGCTCTGAAAAAGCAAAATGCAAGTCTTGTGAAAACAAACAAACAAACAAACAAACAACTTTTTATATGCAGCGAGCATTCAGAAAAAGCAGTGGTATAGCCAGTTCAGAGCATGAAACACAATGCTTGTGTTCAACCTTTTGGTATTTATTTTTACACTTCCTTTTGAATGTGGTACCTGATTTTCTTGGAAATCATACTACTAAAGGCAAAATAGAAATGATACCTATTTCAAAGATTTGCAGAACGTTTTGCTTCCTTATCTCGGGTCTCAAGCTGGGGTCTGACTTAATTATTTCATTTGCAGCAAGCCACTGCTTAGGTCTGGTATGAATTCCAGAATCTTCTGGGTCGTCCCAGACCCAGTGGCTTAAACACACGTGGGTGTGTGTGCCCAAGATCCTGAGAGGAGAATGCAGGAGAAGGGACTGCAGTGTGGCCATCTCCCCAGGGGTTAATTTCTTGCTTTCTGTCTTTCTTTTTTGGAAAGGTTTTTGCTATAGGGCGTGTGCGCTCACCAGACAGACAGAGAGAGACATAGAGACAGAAAGCGAGAAATCACCCCCCCAGGGGAGATGGTCACGCCACAATCCCTTCTCCTCCATTCTCCTCTTGGGATCTTGGGCACACACGCACACGCACCTGGCGTGAGTTGTAAGCCACTGGGTCTGGGACGCGAACCGTGGTCGACTACGTGGGAGTCCAGCAACATAGCCATTACGCTAACTGCTGGTTCCCTTGCTTTCTGTCTTTCTAAACCTAACTAGATGTTTGGTTGAAAAGAAAAGACATACTTAAAGCTGATAAATATGCATGATGACAATGCTAATTGAAATCTAACTAATGAACAACCACTGCAACAAAGACCTCATGAATTAAGCCTACCCTGGAAACGTAAAGACTTTTCATGCTGAAGTGTATAGCTCAGAGTGATCCCGAACCCAAAGCGTGATTTTAGATGATTGAAAGGACACGCATGTGTGAAGATATCCATCCAATTCAGCAACCCCCATGAGGCAAATGCCCACTGCAGTTCTCATGTGAGGAACTCCTTTTCCAGGCTGTACAGCATAGAGTTGTCATCTACATCATCCAGAGGATAAGAGTTCTTGTCTAATAAAAGGAAATTCAGAGCAGGAATTTCTCTTTAAATGCAAGATGATGTTTTGGGGTGTCAAATTGGAGAGCACACGGAATCACCAGAAAAATGTAGGGCAGTGTGAGAAAGAAGAGATGGTGTTGTGCTCTCTGTACAAATAATGTAGACATTTGTTAGAATTATTCTATTAAGATTAAAATTTATATTCTGGGAAAACTTTACCTCAGATGGAGCATTCTAAGAATGATTTAAAGTTCATTTGCCAGGTGTTTTCAAATATAAACAATAAGAAAAATGTGACCTGGGAACCAGCAGTTAGCGTAATGGCTATGTTGTTGGACTCCCACGTAGTCAACCGCGGTTTGCGTTCCGGACCCAGTGGCTTAAAACTCATGTCCGGCGTGTGTGCGTGCGTGCCCAAGATCCCGAGAGGAGAATGGAGGAGAAGGGATTGCGGCGTGGCCATCCCCCCTGGGGGGTGATTTCTCGCTTTCTGTCTCTCTGTCTCTCTCTGTCTGGCGAGCACACGCACCCTATAGCAAAACAAAAAAAAAAAAAAAAAAAAATTTCACCTCAATTTCAAAGCCATGACTGTAATTTCAGCCTATATTTGGATTTGTCTTTACTTCAGGTACTGTTGAATATTTTCATATGTGAGCATTTATGACATGCTAAATAAATATGTTATTATTTTTAAAAAAATCTATATAATCAGTTCTTGTTTTTTTTGTTGTTGTTGTTGGTTTTTTATTTTTTTAATTATTTTTTTTTTTATTTTTAGGTTTTTGCTATAGGGTGTGTGTGCTTACTGGAAAGAGAGCGAGGGAAAGTGAGAAATTACCTCTCGGGGGAATGGCCACACTGTAATCCCTTCTCCATTCTCCCCTGGAGAGAATGAGCAGGCATACACACATATGACTTTCAATTCACTTAGTTTGGGACTCAAACCTTGGTCAGCCATATGGGAGTCCAGTATCTTAACCACTACACTACCTTCTGGCCCCTTTAGGTTGTTTTTAAAGTTTATATGTTTATTTCTTCCATGATTGAGAGCAACAGACAGGAAAATAAAGAAAAAGACAGCATCCCCCAACAATTCTAATACCACAATCCACTCCAGTCCTCAACCAGCCCTAGATCATGGGCAAGTATGTGCCCAGTATGTTTAGGGAGGTAGTTTTTTTTCTTTCCATGGGGGATGCTTCATAGAGGGTCCTGTTTTATTGCTGATGTTGAAAACGCTTGTACCATTGAATGATAGCTTAGTTGGGTATAGAACTCCTACCTCTCTTACATTTTCCACAACTTTATTTTTCTATGTTACCTTCTGGATAAATGTTCAGAGTCATCCTCTAAGTCACTTATTCCTTTTTATTGTCAAAAATATTTGGGAACTAGCAGTTAGCGTAATGGCTATGTCGCTGGACTCCCACGTAGTCGACCGCGGTTCATGTCCCGGACCTGGTGGCTTAAAAACTCACGCTGGGCGCGTGTGCGTGTGTGCCCAAGATACTGAGAGGAGAATGGAGGAGAAGGGATTGCGGCGTGACCATCCCCCCTGGGGGGTGATTTCTCGCTTTCTGTCTCTGTCTCTCTCTGTCTGTCTGGCGAGCGCACGCGCCCTACAGTGAAAATCTCTCTCAAAAAAAAATTCCATTGTATGGACATACCATTTTTGTTTATCCATTCATCCATAGGTGAACATTTGGGTTGTTTCCACTTTTTGAAACTGTAAATAAATTTGGCCTCTAGTTTTTCTTGTCTGTGAACACTTGTGTATAAGTTTATATGTGGACATATGTTTTCATTTCTCTTGGGTATATACCTTACAGTGATTTGCTGGATTATATGGTCATTCTGTGCTTAACATTTTTAGGAACAACCAACTGTCTTCCCTTGTTTTATATTTCTTAGAAGAGTTTATACGAAGAATTAGTGCCTTTTTAAAAAAGAATTATTTTATTTAACTTTATTTATTTATTTTTGAAATTTGACCAGAGAGAGGCAGAGTAAGAAAGAGAGAGAAAGAGAGAAAGCAAATCTCCAGGTCAGGGGTTCAAACAACTTTGGCCATGTGGAAGCCCAGTGCCCTTAGCCACCATGCCACCTGCCAGACCCAGAATTAGTGCTTATTTTTTTTAAAAAAATGTTTGATAGACTTCATGGGTAATTCAGTCTGGGAATAACTTTGCTTTGTGGACAGTTTGAAAATTCTAATTCAAACTTTTTATTTGCTGCAGGTCTTTCAATTTCTTTTTCAGAGTGTTATTTCCTTATGGCTTCTATTTCCTTATCTCTTTAATCATTTACAATAATATTTTATAGTCCCTACCAGATAGTTCTGCATGTTGTTATTGTTTTATTTTGTTTGGTTTGGTTTATTTATTTTTTACTCTCTTTTTGAGAGAAAGAGGGAGAGAGAAGGGAAGGGAAAAAGGCAGAGATAGGTATTTTTACAAGGTATTGCAGTCATGAACTTCCTGACTCAGACTTCCCATTATTTAGGATTATAGGCATGCACAACCATGCCCTGCATGTTCAGGTTGGTCTGGGAACCAAACCTCTAATGCAGCTTCCAGCCTTCCAATTGGCGATACTACTTGTGTATCATCAGAGCTAGGCTTCTATGCCCCTCTTACATGTAGTCCTTTGAGAGTCCCACTGTGTGAATGAGTCTTAGTGTTTACTCTCTTTATAAAACCATGAGTCCTTAGGAAGGTGAAACACATAGCATTTAAAGTGCGTGAACATTTGGGGCCATATTGACCTTTAGTACTCCCATTCCCAAACCCAAGGGCTCCCATATCACTTCTTTGTGTGCTTGGCTTTCTTCTGTGTTTTTGGTATCTCTCGCTCTCTCTTTCGTTTTTCTTGCAAACTCAGCTATGTATTAAAACATTTTATCCATAATTTAAAATACTTGTCAGTAGAGGAATTCTGGATTGTGCAATCTGCCAGAAACCTGAAAGGGCCTTTGTGGTTTCCATCCAAGACTGTATGGAGTGATAAGTGCTGGACTGGGAGGCAAAAGATCATGTTTCAGTTTGCCTCTGTTAGTATGTAGTATCAGGCAAAGTGTTTTCCATTTCTTGGTCTCAGATTTTTCTCCTGTGGAATAGGGTAGTTGGCATTCAAGTGACTTTAAGTTCTAAAATTCTCTGGTTTATTTTTTAAAAACTATCCACAGCTCTGATTTTGAAACCTTTTTCTCTGGATGCAGGCTGGACTCTGTGCAGGAAGGCTATTTGCCCAAGGCCAAGATAACTTGAATATTCTTTACATTTTCAAGGGCAGAAAGGGAGAGACACTGGTCTGTTGTTTTGAAAACTCCTTGGTGGTTTGACTGCACAGGAAAATGGCCTTAGCTGGATTTGTGGAAGTTGATCTACCTGGTCTATCTTAATTTGCTTTGTCTGGATTCTCCCCTCCCCCTTGGGAAAACATTAGCAGAGAAAGTTCCAGACTTTTCTAAGCAAATTTGTCTTTTCTATTTACCAAACTCCAAATATTGACTACTTTTACAAATATTCTCTTAGTAGGACTTAGATCCTTGTACAGTGTGTCCAGTATTTTCCCTTGATAAATACAATAAGTTCTGGAACAATTTTATGTTCAGTTGGGGCTTTTTATGAAAAGGAAGACTTGGGAAAAAGATGCTTTTACAAAAATCCATTAATCCAGATAAGTGATTTTTTTTTTTTTGAGAGGTTTTTGCTATACGGCATGTGTGCTCACCAGAAAGACAGAGAGAAACAGAGAGACAGAAAGCAAGAAATCACCCCCCAGTGGGGATGGCCACACTGCAATCTCTTCTCCTCCATTCTCTTCTCGGGACCTTGGGCACGCACACACATGGGGCTGGTGTGAGTTTAAGCCACTGGGTCTGGGACTGGAACCACGGTTGACTACATGGGAGTCCAGTGACATAGCCATTACACCAACTACTGGTCCCCAGATAAGTAATTTTTATTTCTTCTCCTTCTGCTGCTGTCATAGCAGCGAAGCTAGAAGGAAACCACCTGGATTATTAGACCATTCTTCAAAGTGACCAGCAGGAAATACTAAGGGAATGGAATATAATGGAATATTCTTTTCTATCAGGACAATTTGTCTATTAACATTTCAGTTCTCTTTCAGGGAGAGCAAAGGTTGGCGACACAGGAGTGCCTCAGATAAGCCTTTTTGTCTGCACCTCACGTTATTACATGCCTGGTTTTATGTTCTTGTTCCAGGTGTCACCTTTAGCATAAGACCCAGCATTTATAGTGAATTTGTTTCCAGAACAGTT